GCTCTTAAGAGGGTTGGCAGCAGAGGTGGTTGGTAGGCGGGGGGGGCGCCTACTACTACTACTACTACTACTACTGCTACTACTGCTACTGCTGCTACTACTGCTACTACTGCTACTACTGCTACCACTTCCACTACCAACAACCAAAAACAACACTCAACAACAACAACAAACAACAACCAACAACAACAACCATCAATAACCATCAGCGCACAATCAGAACCAGCTCCACAGCGACACACGGCACAACGATAAGGAGCTGTTCTTTCATGAGGTTCAGTCCACGTTGGCATGCTATCCATGACGGCTGTAGAATCACTGACAATTGACTTTTTGACAGGATATCTTTCGACGATGCGCTTGGGCGGGTCTCCAAGCAGAAGCCCGCCTTGGTAGGAGAAGCGCATCTGATGCGCCGTGCAGAGGCGCCTGGTACTGGGATGTGTTGGGTAACTAAAAATTTCAAGGGGTTGCTGGGAGGGCGTGCTAGCGTCGTCACTAAGGGTCGGTGGAGCCTGCAGTTCCTCGAGGAAACATCTCCAGATCCCAGCTGCACGTCCGCATGTGGATTTGGACTCCTTGCAAGAGCTAAACTTGAACTATGGGCCGTCTGAGGCAGTCCTGAAGCAAGCAGATTCTCCGTCTATCGCGCACGCGAACCATACCGGTGCCCCGCCGATCCTGTCGTCTCAGTCATGTGTGGTTGCATATTTTTGGTGCCTGCAAGGCGCTTCCGCTACGCCGGGCATGGGGCAGGTGGCAGTGGAAGCGAGGCCGACGTAAAGCAATCTAGCGGTGGACGATGGCGCTTGCTGCTTGTGCGACAGGACCTCTACGATATGCACTTGGAGGAGCGATTCTCATTGCGTGCAGGTCACATAGGCTGAAAATCTAAGACATGGGCAGATTTGTTCCAGGATTGTGCAGAGCAGCTCTGTCTGGACTTTTTGGACTTTGCGAAACGCAAGCGGGCTGCAGCACAAGGTCGAGGTGACGGCATGAACCTTGGTCGTTTCAAAACATGAATGTGAGACTCTGCAATTCGAGTAATGTAGTAAAGGTCAAAGCGGCTCAGGCTGAGGCAGCCACAGATGTTTCTCGGTTTGGGCCAAGGTTATGCATATTACCTGTGGGGCGTGGCGCTGAGACGTACAGGGGCCGGTCCAGGATCAGACGCAGGAGGCGATTCTTTGTGCCTCTGCAACCTTGCTCAACCTGCCTTAAACATCAAGCACGGGTGCTATAAACGTACGAGAAGAAGTGGGCCTCTTCCCCAGAGTTTGAAATGTCAGAAGGATCCTCGCCGGCCCTCAGAGGCACATACAATATGTTGTTTGGCCCTGGCAGCTCCCTGATTTCTTGACCTTTTCACAGTGAAATCGGATTCCACAGCATTGAGCCCCTGCAAGGTGACTTTGAAGGTTTCAACTTCGGGCCTGCTGTAGATGAAGATCTAGCAGAAGAGGGCCTTTGGCATCGTTTGAACCAGCTGCAGAAGGCGGGCGGTGGTCGGCTTTCTGCTCTGCCAGTGAGTTTGTTACTGAACATGTCGTGCCCAGCTTCCCAGCCACACGGCCAGACATGGCTGGCTTGACAATGCGTGATACAAAGCATGCCTTGAGACAGCATTTCCTGCTCAACGATCGTAGACGTGGCCGTCGCGGCCCTTCGGAGTGACTTGTATGCGCGCATGTGCCGCGCAGAGTGCGCGATGGCTTTGATGCGACGAAGACGGCTGAGTCTCACAGCTTCTGCGGAACCTCGGACTACATCTGTCATCCGGGTTCTTCAATTCAATATTCTAGCAGATTCTCTCGCCCAAGGTTGCAAGACAGAAGAAGCGGTACAAATCCCCCCCGCCCCGCACCTGTGCGAGGGTGGAGCTGCTGGTTGCCATTACCATTACAGGAGCGCCTCGCCAGTTCATACGTTTCGCACTTCTGCGGTCAATCTGCAGTGGGAGTTCCGTCGCCCAAAAATTCTGGAGATAATACTCCAAGAACAGCCGGACATCATTTGCCTGCAAGAGGTGGACAGTTTCTGCGACATTGCAGGTGTCTTGGAGGCTTCTGGATACCGCGGATCCTTTTGCAAGAAGGCCTGGAGAAAGATACTGGATGGAACGGCTGTTTTCTGGCACCACACACTCTGCTGCACAGACATTGAGCACGTGCAGCTTGAAGCCAGCAGCGCGATGACTGCCGCACTACTTCGGTTTGAGAGCTCTACAGGCAAAGTGTTTGTTGTGTGCTCGACACACTTGAAAGCTGGCTTCTCAGTGGAGATGGAAGAACGACGTCTCCGGCAGGCGATCATGCTTGAGAAGTACCTAGCAAAATTTACCGCTGGCAGCGATGGCAGCGTCGCGACGATCATTGCGGCAGATCTCAATGCACACCATGCCGCTTATGCGGTCTGCACTTCGCGATCCTGCTGTGACCGGGAAGCGACCGTGGAGCCCAAGGCCGCGACCTTTCTGTACGAAGCTGGATTTCAGCCTGTTTACCAATTTCCCAGCTTCACAGCTTGGTCTGGCTGGCTCGACAGGGACGTGAAAGCAAGCTTGGATCACATACTCTATCGTGGACCTATAAAGCCAAGAGCATTGCTGGAGCTCCCTCCCGAGGAGGTGGTCTGCCATTGGCCAGAGCTTCTGCCAAATGACACCTGGCCCTCGGATCACTTGCATTTGGTTGCAGACTTCGAGCTGCTTTAGGACAGGCACGGTGAGCATCAAACTGCTTCAGTTTGGGATTCGTGCAGCTTTGAGGTCGCAGTGCAAAAGCCCCATTAAGTTGGACTTCAGAAACCGCAAAGTGGATGTGCTGCGTTGATCAAAAAGCTAGTAAGCGATTCGGAGCTGCAGCAAGAACAAGAACAAAGGTTCCCAAGCGCCGGTCGAACTCACCCTCACTGGTGGGAATGCAATGCTCATGACTCATGAGGTTGCAAGCTGGGGCTGCTTTCGGCAAGCCCAGATTTTCGTGGGCTGCGAAAATGCGCTAACGCGACTTGGACAACTGGAGGCCCTTGCCTGCAACCATCACGGACCGCTTCTGCCACCAAGGCCGTGTCATTACGACATGGTCCACAACGCTTACGTCCAAGTTCCGTGGCTGCAGTGCCTTAAGGCCTTATATAAGCTTGCAGGACTTGGTGCCGTTTTGACGCCAGGTGCGAGGTTGGAAGCGCTTCCTCCTCGTCGATCCCTGCTATGCGCCGAACCTTTATGCGTACCCGCACGGCCCTCATGCCATCGTGCAACTTCGTTGTCCGTCGGGTTGCTTTTGCAAAGATCCTGTTTTGCGTGTAGCGGCTGTAGCGGATGCGTTTTCTTACCTGACACCGTGTCGAGAAAGGTACGGTTCGTGCCCGAAATCCTGCATCACTTTGAACCTACCCGCGGCTCCCCGGCTACCCCTAATTTTAATATTGCACTGACGCAGGAGTGGCTAAAACCAGGGTCTACGCGAATGCCCAAAATCCTGCATGACTCCATGGGAATGCAACATTGAAACTAAGGGGTTGCGGGGAAGTCGATAGCACGACATGGGATATGTGCGATGTTGTAAGTCATGCAGGATTTCAGGCATCAACAGTAACATGCGGGAACAATTGCAAGCAGGTAGAAGTAACAGCACCAGAGATTACAGAGCGGTTGGCGTGAGTTTGCAATTATGGGCTCCCATCTCTGTGCTGTTCTTCCAGTTGTTTCCAGGCCCCCTTTTTGCTTTACAGGTCGTGTGTCGGATATGAGGGCACCATGAGCACGGGGACCCCCAGGGCTGTTTCCTGAGTGCGTAGAAAGGTTTGAACTAGCGTCCGGCAGCTCTTGGGACAGTGGAGTGCGGGATGTGGATAGCCTGCTGTGCTATGTCTGGGCGGATGATGAGACAGATTCCTTGAGGTCAAAGCCTTCCCCGCCAGCGGACTGAATTGCACGGAGGGAGAGAGTACCAGCAGGTGGAGCATGCAATACACCATCATGACACCGGACACATTCACCAAGCCTACATCGGCAGCGCAACAACCCCTTGGCCAGCAACGCCCCGGGGGGATCCGGGGGGGGCACACAACGGCAGCCAGCACAACCCGAAGCGCCACCCACCACAGCCAAACCCAGACCCGCGTAGGATCCCCTGTGTACCCGCGAGTCGGGCTACCCTGAACCAGTGCGTCCAGCCTCATTGACATGCACTTTTCCTATGGTGACATGTCCTTCTGTCAACTGGAGGGGAGACCGGTGTTTGTGCTCGTACAGCCGAGCCGCCTATAGCCCCCTGGTGGAAACCGCTCGGGGGTATGTTAGACACCCGGTGTACTGCGGGTGCGCGTGCGCGCGCGACTATGCCAAGCCGGGGGCATGGAGGTTGTAGACAATTCAGCGTTGCACGGGAGACCACGGGAGTCAGTTTATTATCTCAAGCTTAAACACTGTTCAGGGCGGTGGTTGGATTCTTCGACTGCCGGGCACTTTCGATAGCACGGTTGCATGGCTTCGCTCACGGCTCCAAAGTCTTCCTTCACTCTGTTTTTGGTGAGAGGAGGGAATACCTACCCGGGTCGAGAAAGGAAGACTGAACCACTAGCGGCGGGTTGAGTCAGGAGGCGGTTGCTGCCGTACCGGAGCCGACGCGCCTCGGCTGTGCGTGCGTGCGTGCGTGAAGAGGGAGCGCCGCTCGCGTTTCCTGGCTGCAGACAGAAGTAGAGACATCCCGCATGGACAAATATGCGCATGCACATGCACAGAGGAAGAGAGAGACCTGCCCCTAGCCCTGCCGAAAGAAAGAGAGATCCTGCTCAGGGGGATCGGGGTTCGAGTCTCACGCCTATAGCTTGGACAGTGGCGTTGCGCAGCGCGCACAGGGATTCGGGGTCCGCACTCCATTTCCCAAACGCCTAGCAAGCAAGCGAGCAAGCAAGAGATCCTGACGAGACTTCCACACCCCGAAGTGAAGTGAAGTGAAGTCAGGGAAGTGACACTGCTCTCACACACACACCCAAGTACAGATTTGTAGCAGAGCCCATCTCACAAAACATTGGATGGGGCAACGTGTCTGAGCGGGGTGTCAGGAGCGTTGGCGCCTCATGCACCAAAGCCAAGCGAAGACACTGCACACAAAGACACATTCGCACACACACACACACACACGCGTGTGAGAAAGAGCCGTCAGTGCAATTTAGCAATTGTGTTCTCAAGCTGCCCCCAGAGGCCCAGGAGCAGCACCGATGTACAGTATGTTTGCTCACCACTTGCAGCATTCATTAGCTTCTTGTTTATTGGCCTGGCGACAGACACGAGCTGTCATGCCCCTGAGTTTGACAAAGTATTAACTTAACTAGGTTGCCAGTACACCGCCATCTGCTCACATCTCACTACATCAACTAACTAGTCTTAGAGCACGGGAAGTCGTAGGCACCGGAGTTCGTCCACGGCGGGTGGTTCCTGTATTGTTTCTCATATCCACTGCATATGATGTTTTCACACGCCGCAAGCACTGACAGACTGTGGGCACTTTTCATGTATCGACGGCGTGGGGCTTGAGCAGTGCTCTTCCAGGACCGTTGATCGTCAGCATGCATTTGAAACTTTTTGGTGTTCAGCCCTATGGTCGTATATAACTTGGATGAGCAGTTGTGGCAATAGGAAGATACCGCATGCACCAGCGCTTGCAGAACGCGCCTACCTAAAAGCATTGACGAGGAGCAGCCGCTGAAGTTGAGAAGAGCAGCTGGACTGCCTGAATTGGTGAATGGAGCTGCGCACTTCGATGAGCATTGCACTTTTGCTATTTGTTCGCAGACTTGCACCACGACGCCGCGTACAGCACTACATGTACGGATCCATAAAGCATTCGAAATCAATGATTCCATCGGCCGTATGGCAGCAAGCACCACAATGATCTCTGCGCGGACACGACGATGGCAATTGCAGGTTTTCGCAAGAACTTTGCAACAACAAAGTGCGTTTTCACGAGCAAACATTCGGAATGCTCGACAAGACCTTCAAAATTGCTGGGATGGTGGTGACTGGCTACTCTAGATCAACAAGTATCAAGTACAAAGCTTTGTCACAGGCGAACCTTGCTTGTGCACTGCAAATTTCGTTTTGGGATCGTCCCGGTGCGTGATCCGTGCAAGGCAGGGGCATCCAATGGACCGCTGTGCGCAAGCGGATCTCGAAGCTCCAGATTTCGCACGCTTCCCCAAGCTCAAGGCCCGGCTAACGGCATCCACTCCCTCTCTGCTGCAGACTGCCAGTGCTGTTGCAGGCGGTGAGGGCCGTTGAGGCAGTTCTTGGTCCTGGAGATTTGCTTGTGTTGCCCGCGGGATGGCTCGGCCCATAGTCGCCATCACGTGTGCTGCACACGGAGACCTGCAGCACGAGGTGGCATCATGTGCAGTCTTTAACCGAGGAGACGGGGCTGAAGCGGTAGAGCCACAGCTTGCAAAACTCTGCGCAGATCAGGACTCGCTCTCAGTGAGCTTTTGGTTCGATGAGCCGCCACTTCAAGCAATGCCTCGAGCGATACCGCTCACTTCCTTTCAGCGAGCCTGCTCCCTTATGACCCTGATCTTCAGAACTTGGCTCTTTCGGATTTGGGCCTATGCCCAGGTGCAACTTGCTCGTGAAGCGGAACGCATGCTGCTGCTGGTCTTGGGAACTTCCAGGTGCATCTAGCAGCTTCTCATGAGGCTGTGCCCATGGTCAAGGATGCTGCAGCACCTCTGAAGGCTGCGCAGCGCGATGCACACGTTGCGAAATATGCTGGGCTGTGGCCTGACCGCTTGGTGGGCTTGCGAAGCTTACCCTCTCAGCTTCGTGCGCGCAGAAAGGTGAAGACGCCGGCTGCCAAGTTCAGCAAAGTTCTGATGAGGCCGCGGGCCTTGTGCCCATCGATCGTCGCATTCTCGATTCTGCGCGAGGATCTGTCAGCCTCATTGTGCGGCTAGTGAGCAAAAACAGAGAGGTTCTGGCTTGCGCGTGGCTGCTGTGGCGCTTGAGCTACACCTTGGGGAGTGTGGAGGTGGACCGTCAGAAGTCAGAAGAAGTGACACCAGCCTTGTAACAAACAGTCAGAAAGTTCTCGCTTACCAGGTGGCCAGGAGTTTGGCCTTGGCAATGGCAGATGATGCACGCATGAGCCGCTTGAAGCTGCGCAGTTTGGAAAATGAGTAGTGGGTGCAGACTGTTCTGATTGCTGCCTGTGCTTCGTTCCATCATGCCTGCAGGCCTGCAGGGTCGTGGCATTGATGCAGAGGTATTCAGGTCGGTTTTTTCGACAGTGTTTGGAGGTCGGTGAGTCGGTGAGCCTGCGAGAGAGCATTCAGAGCTGCATAGCGTCTCCGAAAAACTTGGTTGTTTTCTTGGCGTGAGTCTCATATTCTCAGAGAGGACATTCGTTCCGATTCGTTCCCTGTGTACCCAACCAGGTGTTGCTAAGTCTGTCGCACCGGAAGATAATTTTTCAACACTGGGCGACTCGGCTATTTACCAACCTGCGGTTCACCGATCGAAGTTTGTGGCAGCGTGCGATTTCGCCATGTACAACGATGTTTCCATCAGCTTACCAGCGAAGGCGCAAAGCACAGACATTTTGAGCATGGCGTCCCAGGGGAATATTTTCTTAGTCTTGAGACTGTCTTGAGAGGTGCGAGGGCCGGAGGCTGAAGAGGAATGGCAGGAGGCATGCAAGTGTTGCAAGACAACTACCAGTGACATACCTGAGTTGAATCTACTTGGTAGATCTGTGGCGTTGCTGCATGTGAGTTATGTGGCAGGTGGACTGGGTAACATGGAGTACCGGCACAGTCACCGTGGATTCAGAGCTTGATACCGGGAGTGCTGATTCCACGTGGTTTTGAGGGAATGTGGACTCTTGCCGTGCTGAGGTCATTCCTGCTTGTGTTCAAGCCGACAGGTGCTGGCAGCGTCAAGGCCACCGCTCGTCGCATGAGGTCTGCATTGTCTCACACACGACTTCGGCAGGCCAAACCGCTTGGAAATATGATTAGAGCAACGGCTGCCCAGCACCTAGTCGTTAAGTGAAGGTTCGTGAAGTTCCTGGCTTTTCTTCGTGATTCCTGACTACACACATCTACGAATATTGTTGCACCTACAGGTTGGTGGGACTGACGAGAAGACGCTGATCGTCACCACTTCGGAGTGTAAGACTTAGTCACTAGGGCCACTAGGGATATGTGACCGTGGCCGATAGCTCTCCACAGCTCTTCTCATTTCTGAAGAAGCAGGTCAATGCACAGGACGTGGCACCCTAAGCTTCAATGCTGTGGTGGCTTGTCTTCTGCAGCCGGATGCTTCGGACAAAGGTATCGCATGACGTTTCCGTAGCAGCCTCAGCTGAACAAGCCAGCCTCTCATCAGCGAACATCACTGGATCGCGGAGGACTTCGGAAGAAGCTTCAGAGTTCTCAGCCATAGCAAGCAGGGCAGAGGTTGCTGCCCTTGCCTTGGAATCCTCCAGCCATGACCCTCTCAGTGTGCGCACCATGCGACATCAAGGCCAACGACGCGGCCAGAACAAAGGACCAAATGCAGGTTAGTCTTCAGAATCGGCTACAGCCAGAGATGCTCGAGTGACAACGTTGGTAGCACAGCAGCATGGCGTGATTTCAGGAGACAGGTGATGTGCAAAGTGGCGATGCAACGAGGCCTCAAGAAGCCACAGCAGCTTGGAGTCCCGCGAGAAATCGCGAGACTTTGCCGGCAGGTTGGAAAGCGAAATCCGGGCCCATTTTGTGGAGAGATGCCCCTTGGTCTTCGGAGGCTCGAGGTCGATCATTTGGACAGTCATAGTATTGAGTGCTCCGACTCGGAAGGAAGGTGTTCTATGGTATCCATCGTATTTGCCCAAAGTGCAGGCGCAGAGCTTTACGGGCCGGATCCCAACGGCGAGGCTTCCAGCGAGGCCGGGAGGCAAAAGTATTTATTACGGCATCCGCAGACTCGGCTTTAGCTTTGCTGTTGGCGAAGGTCCTGCTTGGACGGGGAATCGTGCTTTGCCCAAGCTTCTGACAGCTTTCAAGCCCTGGAAGAGCCTCCTTCAGTCGTCGCGTGCCTCCTTCGGTTTCCGAACACAGGCTATAGCTGGAACAGCCCTCGGCCGTAGGAATCCGTAGGATCTCTGTGTTGATCCGAGATGATGATCCTGGATCCGCAAGAAGACAGCAAGCGCGCATGCGCCCCGGTTACCTTGAGCTCTGTCGAATCGCATACATCTGCGCTGCAAGGTGGGTAGCTACGAGCTTGCCTTCTTTTCAGAGGACGAGGCCAGAAATGCAAGGATGCCTCTGCACTTGTGTGATCAGCCTCGGCATGCATGGTTGGTGATGGCCATCGACCGATGCCAACCCAGTTCAGACTCAAGCTATCATACAGTACAGCATTCCTGCTTGTCCGCACCGTGGACGTGTTCAAGACTATAGTTACATTGCAAGGCTGCTGCCGGTGTCGTGGCCGGGCATTGTGTAACAGTGTAGGCTCCGATCGAAGCTTCAAATTGAGACCTGGAGAAGAATTGTCGGCAATGGGCATACACTCAACGGCGTGCTGCCGCTTGGCGAGAGTGTCAGTTGAACTAGAGCGCTGTCAGTGGCAAGTCATTCCACGCTGCACGCGAAAAGCGAATAAAAGCGAGGTGAAGATCACTTCTGCCAAAACGACGACGCGGCGGGCTCTCCTTGGTTTACGTCCTTTGCAAGGAGGGAGGAGCCGGGGGCCCCGGGGGCCCCGGGAAGGTGGCCGGCCTCGGAGCCGACCTAAACGGCAAAAAGACGCAGACGAGGCCTTTGAGACCAGAGCAGAACGCAGCAGAGCGCAGACTGCCTTTTGCACTGCCTTGTACACTGATACATGCTGGGAATACTGGCGCTGCTTTTCCTTTCCCTCGCTGCGGTGGATTTGGAGCGAAATCAATGGCATCACCTAGGAGAAAGAAATATCCGGGCACGAGAAAACTAAAAGCAACATCGAAGCGTGGAAAGTCCGGCTCTGAGTTGGTCGAGCCTTCTTCGTGATCCTCCACTGATCGCTCGCAGATCCAAGGCCGTATCAATTGTTCAAAGCCTGGTCGCAGGAGGTGAGGTTGGCCATGTTAATTCATCCTCAGGTCTTGACAGCACGACAATCTCCATGCATGTAACGGGCATCACCCTGTACACTGAACACTTGCCAGCCGAGCACAATTTTCTAGTTGCATTCGACCTTGTGCAGATGTGCGCCAGGTAGGCGATGCTGCGAGACAAGCCATGATCGCTGCTCGTACGCTCGGCAGACAATGCGCAATGTGCTGTGGCCCTGACATCTCAGCCAGGAAATGCTGAGCTTGCGGCCGGGCAGGCAGCAAACTGAGTTTGCGAGTCCCTCAGAGAATGGAACCTTTTCGGCAGAAGGCCAAGCGCTACAAGTACTTCGCGAAGTCGGCCAGAGATGCCGCGCAAAACGCGTCGGCTTCTGAGCCCACAGGCTGAAGGCAGTGTCTTTAAATGAGAGCCGGAGATCCAACTTCTGAAGCACGCACGATGCGGGCGAAGAAGCAGTTACGATACCGTTCCAGTGTTCCTGATCACAGATATTCCTGTGGGCAGAATCAGAACACACCAGAACAAGCCAATTGATGAACGTTGATGAGTGCAAAGGCTGCAGGAGCTTGTGAAGCATTTTGCCAAAGACAGAGCCATGCGCCGAGCTTCTGCAACTGATGAAGTACACGTACTTGAAATGTAATACACAGCATGTGCTGCCTCTCGGGCTGGAAAGATCATGCCAGGCAGATGCAAGCAAGATGCGAGTTTTCTTTTCCAGTTGCGTTCCTGTGCTTGAAGCATCGCTGAGTTCAGCCACAGCCCCAGTTGCTTTGCACCACAGTTAAAGACTGGGACCTGTTCCTTATTGGTTTGGTGGTGGTTGGGAAGACTGAAGAGACAAGGAAGGATGATGAAGCTTTGCTTGAGAATGCCACAGCTGGGAGTTGCTCCTGTAGTTGATCTTGGTTGTGCGTGAGGCCACCGCAGCTCGACGATCTCGAATGGCTGCATTTCTGTAAAAAGAAATCGCATGTTTGCCAGAAAGGGGCAGCAGACACATCATGCTTGAAGCTGACAATTTCAATGCTAAAGGCCTTTGAAATCCTTTGCAGCCGAGGGTTCAGCAGTTCAGCGCAGGGGAGTGTGTAGTCCCAGACTCCTAGACGCCAGAGATGTCCAGCCCGTCCAAGCCTGGAGGTCTCAAGCCTGCGAAGGCGATACGATACGTCGGTCGAACGCTTCGCTTTCGCTTCACGTTGTTTGCATATCTTTTCGCACAGGCTCGCCCGCTGCCTGGGCGGAGAGGCGTTTCCCCAGCTGCCGGATCCCCCACCAAGAAGAAAGGTGGCTTTCATTTCAAGCTGGGCGCAGCTGAAGACGAAGCTCCGATGCTTCGAGCATGATGCTCTAGGCTATAGTGTATTATAGTGTCTTGATGCGTCTGATAGCGCATGCCGGCATGTCTCAGACTCAGGATGCCTTGAGCCCGAAGTTGCTGCCTTTACCAGAGGGGGCCTTCATTTGCTTCGGAAGCGCGCTCATGCCCCCCAACGAGGAAACTGCAGGCGCATGGCTCGGCCTCTTGCCATCTGTTGCACTTTTTCGTTGCTGCCTTGCCAGGGCGATTCTGCAACGAAGGCCCCAAGTTGGAGTTTGGTGGACCGATGTCTCAAGCAGATACAGGCCTTAAAACTGGTCGGGCACATTGACATGATGCCACGCAAGTGCAATGCAAGAAGTGCGAGAGCACCTGCAAGAGGATGTGCCAGCCGGATCCCGCTGCGTCAGTTTGCGGTGCGACGGGGCCTTTGTGTGCCAGTGGATCTTGCCGTGCTGCACTGATACTGCAAGTCTTCTCCTTTCGGCTGCGAGCATCCGGTGGCTGTCAGGCTAAGTGAAAAAAGAGCGACTGCTGCACGTCTAAGGCTTGCAGAGCGCGATTGCGCAAGCAGCAACCCTGCTGGTGGACAGGCACATTCAAATTCCATAAACGAGTGATCCCTATCCATCTCTACACCGGCCCTACACCATGCGAGTTTTAGACGCATTGCATGCGTTGCACCTCGACCAGGTTCCAGTCGATGAGTCGGAAGGAGGAGTTCACATTGACACAAGCTGAAGATGTGGTGAAGTTGTCATACGGGGTGCAGGTGCATTTCCTGGGCTTTCTGCTTCTTTCACCAGCCGTAAACAGTAGCGATATCTGTTTGCATTAAGGCTGCCAGCTACAACGTCGCTGGTTCGCAGAAAGCCGGTTTGTGATGCAGAGAGGCGTCCACAGTTCTGGCTGCAAGCCCGCATGATTCACACGTGAGGTTCAGAAATGGGCTGCCAGTTTGGGTCATGGAGAACCCCCACAAAGCCGACCACCTGTGCCGGCAAACCCAGAAGAGGCACCGTCGCTTTCAGAAGCTGTCCACTTGCGAATTGCACGTGGTGTCGCTGCCTGCAGGCACTCGCGATGATGAACATGGCGCTGCCACGGCTCGTCGTTGCGGCATCCAGCTTGCAGACCGGTCTACGTGAGCTCGTGCCTGCCGTGCACATCAGATCAGATGGTTTGAACGACGAGGAGCTTCAAGCGGCGACCGCGCAAGAGAAGCATGAAGCTGAAGCACGAGCAGAGGAGGAGCTACAGAGGCTGGGAATCACGATTGACGAGCTCTACAGCGTAGTGCCACACATGGAGCAGATGATATACCAAGCGAGTTGCCTTGTAAATTCACTTCGGCACCCGCCACCAGTGCCGCCGCCAGTGCCGCCAGTAGATATAGCGACAGAACGACCGTTCGGAGCAGGACCTCCCGTGGAGGCGGCCTAAGCATTAAGCGCGCTGCCTGCCAGACTGTGTCTCACGGCTCTCGAATGCTCATGACTTTCAGTTTCATCAGGATTTGTCCATGGCTCCGGAAACGATTGGCGCTTGATGTACAGGAGGAATTAAATTACGTTCTTCAGAAGGGCCGCCTTCCTTCAGTGACGCTTGGAAAATCCTTGCAGACTGTCCAGTGGCTGATGAAAAAAAGAGATGGATGATCGTCTACAATTCGTTGCATGTCGGCAGCGTGTCGAAGAAGTTGCTTGTAGCGATTGACTGGGCGCGATCTCGATTCGTCCACGTCTGTGCCGGGTGGCACAAACTGTCATAGCACTGCCAGGGTGTGGACAAGCCAACCCTATCCTTCGCGATAGCTCCAGAGATGACTCTGTCCAGGCGCAGCAGATTGCAGCAGCTTGCATCTGCCAGTTCACCGTCCTTTCACAAGTTCTGCACATCTGAATGAACAGGCAAGATGCGGATGAGGAGCGGCGGTTTACTTGGATTGCCATGAGAGCGGCGGGAGGTTTCAGCCACACGCTTGGATGCCTCGCGCCCATTGCAGAAAGCGTTGGTTTATCAGAGAACCGGTAGATGCAGCAGATAGTCTCTACGCTCCTGGGCGACAGCACTTGCGTACAGCTTGGCGCGTGACCCATCGCAAACTCGGTTGCAAGGGAAGATCTTGGCACTGTGCCCGAGGTCCCCTCACAGCCTTGATGTGCAAACTTCGAGATTTGAAGTTGTTCCACTGTTGCTCCCGACAGCGTCCGAAGGCAGCGCGCACCCGATTCATATATACTCCACGTTGCATCAGGCTCAGCTGAATCGAAACGCAGGAATATTGTTGTGTCAACAAGCCACGCGCCAAGGAGGTCGAATTGAATGCCGTTTCAAAGAAGCATCTTAAGCACCTCATGTTTCTTACGCAGCAGCCGCCTAGCCGCCGGATCGCCACAAGAAGGTAATAGCAACCGTAGTGCAAAGTCCGATGGCAGTAGTGATGGCAGTGGTGGACCAAGCAATCTCGATCCTAGAACCAAGCTCTGTGGATGGGGCATCTCTGCGGTGAGTCTGCGGTGGGCGTTGAGCCATGATGGTATGTGGTTATACGAAGCACATAAGGCACCCAATCCGTCTCCCGAGCTCTTCTCCATGCGTTGGTGGAGCTTTTGCAGTTTACTAGTGGGGCGTCATTTAGCTGTGATACATCGTCCAGATCCAAACTCTGAAGCGTCTCATCCATCGTCGTAAGCTTCGAAATCGGACGTTGCATGTTGACTTTTGGATCAAGTCACGGCTGTGTTCCATAGGAACGTGTATCCAATTTGGGTCAAGTACCATCTGGCTAGGGTGAGCATGACGTGGCGAGCTAGGGAAGCGATGTATTCGGATCAGCGTTAGTTTGATGTGATCCCTGGTTTGGCAGTATTTGTGCCGCTGTGCAGTTCCGCGAGAAACCATTCGGTTTCATGGTGGTGACGCGCTGTCAGTTCTTGGAAGTTTAGCTTCTACTGACCCGTGGCATTTTTGGCGCACTCCTGAGGGACAGGCAGCTAGGTGTCTCAACAGCGGGTTGCAACGCCCAGGCGCTCTTCTGATGATGTTAAGGCCCTTGTGAATCAGACCTGTCCCAAGAGTAGCCTCACACATGATTTCAGTTTTGTACTGTTAGGGAGGTTTGGCGCGCTTGGACTTCGGGTGCATGCGAGGCAAGCGAGTGGAGTGCGTTGAAACAGGGTTTATTCTGCCCTCAGCTTTGCCAGAAAAGCTGGCATTCCACTTTGGGTACGGGCATTCGCTCAGGCTTCCAAGACAAGTCACACGGACGTTCTGAAGGGACACTATTGCCGCACGAATTTTCACAGGAGGCCGACGATGCCCCCATCACTTTCGTGCTGCAAGGGCCAACTATGGCTGCGACTCCAGCCTGCTTGTGGCTTCTCAAATCTCTTGCTATGACTGGACTGGACTAGCTTCGAGCCTTTTTGAATTTGGTACGTCTGCTCGTTGGGAAGAGGTCCGCGACACCGAACGGCCTTCGTCGGTCAGAACTTGTCAAAGCTTTCGTGGCAGGCACACTCAGTTTGCTTCGAGGACCTGGGATGCTGTGTAGGCAATTGCTCATAAGCAAGCACAGGTTGCAGTCGTTGGCAGTCTCGCTGACGTCGTTCTTGGCAGGACCAGATGACCGCGGCAAGCTTCTCGCGAGACTTCAAAGTACGTAGGTGCCTCTGTATATACACTTACTGAAAACATGAAGCAGCTTAGCATTGCCACAGATGTCAACCATATCCAAGCTTTCACGCGAAGCGGTGGGGAACCAGGCAGCATCCACTCGAATGCTTGCGATGATAGGAGAAGCGCAGCACTGGCACAACACGTACGGACAAGCTGTGCTGCGTGGTCGTGGCGCAGAGCACATATGAATATGAGTGATCAACTAGTGACTGTAGTGATCATTGATGCATGAACCCTTGCAAACCAGGAACCAATAGCAGACACAACATGAGCAGTTCTGAAGAGTGATCAGATGGTGGTTCGTTCGGGCCAAGACTGCTTCAATGCCTTTTGGATCTATGCTGTGCAGCAGTATGGGACAAGCCCGAAAACGTGAGATGCGACGTGAAGAGTTCGCACAGTCAATGCTGCAAGTGACAAACTGAGTTGCCTGTTTATCAGGGTGCCGCCTGTGACGCTGTCATGACAGATCTGGCTGAAACGCCAAAACATGATGGTGTCTCACAACATAGGCCAGTGAACCATCGACTCCCTTCAACAGGACTAAGACAAGGCGACAACAGAACAGGGACAGAGGTAAGCGGAACAGCCAGTGGGCAGGGGCATGAGAACCTACCAGAATGCGCCGGACACAAAAGGTTTTTGTGCCGTTTTAACTTAAACTTCATGCAAATCCCTTCACTGGCGCTCGCGCCCAGATTGACCGGTCGGTGGAACAAACTGTGAATCAGAGCCGAGGCTCCAAGTTGATGGACCTCTCCCTGAAGACACTTCGAGGCCAAAGTCACTTGCAAAGTGACGAAGTGACAGACCTACCTGCGTGCTGACTGCGGACTGGCTAGGCCGCGCTGTGGCGCAGGGCCTCCGGGGTGAGCTGACGAGCACGCTGCTTCGCAATAGAGAGTGCATATTGTGGTCTTCGCCAGACCGATCTTGTCGTGCCACCGGGCGTCGGCGAAGCGCTGTTCCCAAGGTCTGAAGCAACGGAGTCTCGCCAGCAGGATATGGACCATGCTCCGTCCCCACCCTGAGTCTGCTGAGAGGCCACGATGTCCAAGGACCGTAGAGTCGTATAGACGCTGTTTTGTTGCCTGAGGCTGGGGTCTGCTCATTGCTTCCTTCTCAGCATTGCCTTTTGCATAACAAGAAGTCTGATGAAATAACGGTGTACAGCAGAGTCTTGCGTTGAGAGGCTGTGCTGACGGTGACTGGGAGGGCTGTGCATCTTTATACGCCGGTATGCCGTGATTCGACATGTCGATGTGCTTTGCATTGCCTTGCATTGCTTTGCGCTTTGCAGCTTGGCATTGGCGGCCAGGGTGAACAGCCAGAGACCGCCAGCTGAGCCCTGAACTCAGAGACCGAAGCCGAAGCATTGTGTGGCACAGGCTCGGTAAGCTACATGCTAACCGAATTCCCATGTGAAAGCCCTTTGGGCAGGGCTTGCGGCTTAGTTCTTGAGTCGCGATGGCACGGCCAGGCTGCTCCTTGGCTGCGTGCGGCCTTGTTTGGGGGCAACACTCACCTTGATGTTGTGTTTGCTACTCGCTTGGTTGGCACCTGCGCACGTGCTCGCTTGAAGAGTGCCCTTAAGTGGGTTGCTGCTATTGGGTCGCCTTCCCACGCTCTTGATACTTGGTTGCGACGTCGTGGTTGGACGAGACAACGACCGTGGATATGGCATCGTTGTTCGCCAGGCTTGGCGTGCTTGGGCGTTGTGTCAACACGTTGCTACCGGTAGGCGTGACGTTGATGCAATTGATTGCTTTGGGCCCTCCCGTCGTTACTTCCAAAGCATTGACTGGGATGCCATGCGCAAGTGGGCCTATAGTAATCCTTGTGCTCGCACTGTGGCCTGTGGCGCCATGTGGTCTCCTGTGGCCCTTGGTGGTCGCATGGCTGTTCGTCCTGCTACCTCTTGTATCTGGCACCCTTGTGAGGAGCTGGGCACTTGGGAGCATGTTGCGTGGCTTTGTCCTTGCAGGCCGGCTGGGTCCTATTGTCCTCGGCATCGCTTGGCGCTTTCTGCCAGGTGGGGTTGGGTTGTCAAAGGCCAACAGGTTGACTACGTTGCTCTGCATCGTTGGTTGATCACAGTCCAAGAAAAGCTCTGAGCAACTTTTCATCCCACGTGAATTGCTTGCCGCTTCCCCGGGCTCGTGGTTAGGTCGCTTGCTTGCTTGGTTGCCTCTTCTTGTGTGGTTGCGCTGACTCCTTGTGGGCCGCCCTTGTGCTTTGCCCGTTTCGGGGTATTGGCACCTACAAAGTTTTACACGGCCAGTTCTTACTGTAGTGTTCTTACACGCCGACCAGCTGCCAGGTATGTGTCAGTCATCGGTCAGGACCTGGCCAACACTGCTTTGCGGCCAGGGCCCCTGCAAACACGGGATGCCACCCTTACCGACATGCGAGAAGTAGTTGCCGAAACGACTTCAGCAAACTGCTGAGTGTATTTTACTCATCTTCGCCAAGCACGTTAATACTCAACACACCTGCTGACCTTAAACTCTTGGCCCCGAGCCAACAGAGGAGGTGGCGCATCTCGAAACTCGCCTAACCCAGCAAGGACGGAATCATCGACGTAGAGAGTCCGGCTCGTGTCTGTCTCGTTTCGAGCACAGACTGCAGACGGTCAGTCCAAAACGATTGTCCTACTACCATTGTCTTGAACTTGACTAGCGCATACAAAATACCGTTCCAGAAAGCACAGTTTGCCGGTGCGAGGTTGGTGCGCGAAAGCGTTGCGAAAGGCGGCGCGAAAGATCATGAGCATGCGCAGCGAAAGGCCATGCCTCTGCCCTGTAAGTGTTTACAAGAATTGTGCTGAACTGCCGAGTTGAAAGCACGATGCTACCGCTACTGCAATGCTGCTACCTGCTACCACAGCTACATACAGCTAGAACAACAGCAGATGCAACAACAACAACAACAGCAACCGCAACCGCAACCGCAAGGGAAACGGCAAACGGCAACAGCAACTACCGCCGCTTGGCAAGAAGTTTCGCTTCAAGACATGAAAACTTTTAGCTAAACTGGCCTCGCGAAAATCGACTTCGGTGAGCCAGAGAATTCGCACTATACAGCTTGTTTTCTACGCGAGACTAAGCCTTGAGATGGGAGGAGCGGCGCGGTGACATCAGCCGTCGCATTAGCTGGATGAAATCGATTTCAGCAATTTCTGCACAGCCCTCTACAGGGAACGCAGTCTTGACATTCGTTGGTTTTGCTTCATTGTACGAGTTTAGGACTCAGGTCGGCTTCGGCAACTACCGCAATGGGTGCAAAGGTCCGACAGAGTTCCGAAATTTCGGACAGAGCCAGATTTGGTGATTCGAGCTGCATTTGTTTCGGACTTGAAGTTGTGACCTGGGTAGACCCATGCATGCAGCAGGCGAGCCTTCCTTTACACAGTGTTGAACGATATTGCTGCACCATGCCCGGGCTTTGCAGCATGGCTGAGCTTGCGATGAAGGCAATGCCCACCACTCCTTTCGGATAGTCGAGGGTGCTGCCAGGAACTTCAGGATCTTTCAATCGCTAGCATGTGCAGATATGTGCAGGTTTGTGAGATCACCTTCGGCACTGTGGATCGTGATGGGCTTCGTCAATGTGCCAGAGCGACGACGGTTTGGGCCCTGGTGTGCCATATTCCTTTCTCCCAGGACATTTAGAAGCCCTCGGAGCCCCGGAGCTTGCAAAGCCTCTCTGAGCGTCGAGCGTTTGAAAATGTCTGGGGCTTTGGGGAGGTTCCGGGCGGCTTTCGGCGGTCTCTCAGCCCGAAAGCGTGCTCAACCTTTGCACATCTTTGCACCACTTCGGAACGAGCACCTCATCAGCCCTCAAAACACTAGTTCCTGAAGACACCAATCGTGCTTTTGCCGCCTCATGTTTGAGAAAAATTAGCACAGGTCTCCGGTATGCGGCAGTGCCTTGACTCTCTGAGCGGTCGAATGCTCAGACATGAAGAAGCAACTGGTAGACTTCATTCGAACAGTTGACCAAGCTTGCCTTTGTGAGGCTATGCGCCTGTGTTGGGTCACAGCTTTCAGGAAGGTATGTGAACAGTGGTGCCATGGCTTCATTGGCTCCATCTGCGGTTCAAAGCTGCAGCTGCAAATGCTATCAACCATGACAGGGGCGTTGAATGCTGCTCCTGCACAACAGGAGCTCAATTGAGGCTTTCGATGCTAGAGGAAGCCGGATAAGACGGTACAGTTTTGGTCTGAGGATGTGCCGGGAGCTTTGTACAGATGCTCTGAGGCCTGCTCCATGCTGCTCTCTACTTGGCAGCCTTAACCAAGTGTCCGAAGCTAGAGCACGCTTGCCATGCCGTGCCAAAACGAAACACCCGGCAATATCCCAGCCAAACCCCGACTGCCGGCTCGGTGTTTGGCTATGTTTGGCTATCTGACTGTGTGTTGGGGTTGGGCTCCACTGTGCAGGGGGCTCTGCAGGTTGTGGGCTCTCTTGGGCTCTCCAACATGCATGCGGATGCTCACCAAGTTTGGTGCACGACACGGTCACACTTTTGGTGGGTCTCGAGTGTCTTGACTTGGGCTTTCGACATCGAGCTGGATATGGCCGGTCTGTGGCAACTGGATCGCTAGAATGTCAGACACTGCTGTAGAATAAACCGACAAACTGGCAGCGCCGTCTTCCCAACTCGCGACGCGTTTGAAGCCCTTGATCCCTCCTTGGCCGCACAGACAGGTCGTACTGAAAAACGATGCCCCGACAGAGCAATCAATGTATATATGTACTCGTACATTCACGGCTTCACACAAGCACCTTCAGACCGTCAAGAATGAGGATGTCGCGAGAAGACGATATGGGACTGCTGGTCAGGAGCACTGTCGGTTCCAGGATGTGAAAGTGCCGGCAGAGTCCCCGTGCTGAGATAGCCTCCGGCGTCGTTCCGGAGAACATGTGTGACAAGTGCAACCCCTGGGTGTGCAAGGCAAGCTGGATTCCCCAGGGCAAGGTGATACAGATTCGTGACGTGTTGAGTCTTCGGGGGTTTGTGGCGACACACTCAGGATGCAGAGGCGCCGAATCGAGGAAGCAACGTGTCTGCATATGACACAAAAGCGGGTAAAGGGCAAAGCACAAACGTGACTTCCAATGATAATGGCTTGGACCCCAGTAACTTGCGCGGAGCAAAGTTAAAAGGGCAGGCCACCTGGCCCTGCATGGTAGAACCCTTTGTTCATGTCGAAGTTGGAGCATTATCCAAGCTGTCAAGTGGAGAGATGTAGCTGACCATTCTCACCCTGAGCATGCTGCAGACGTGCGAAGAAGGGCGATCATGCAGCGATTGGCTGGTTTCGCAGAACCGATTCTGCAGTAGGGCGTTTGCATGCATGAGCTACTTGCGCAACGGTCCTGCACGCTGGTGTCGCAACTGCCTGACAGCAGCGATTGTGCTCAAGACTACTAGCACTTCTGTCACAACATGGCCGAGGCCGTTTGTCTAGGTGAAGCTCGTTTCTCCCTCGTGTCCTTAGAGCCGCAAGCATCTGACAAGGCGAAACAAGATGCATGCGGTCAGTGTGGTTGCGACAAGGGCGGCAAAGAGGCAGTCTCACAGACTTGCAGAGCGCGTCTGCTGCAAGCGTTTTGGGGGCTCTCGTGCTTTGGTTTTGGTTAGCAGGTTGAGGATTTGGTCCCAGACGTGCACTTCGAGCCCGCGACTCAGTCGCTTCGCCGCCCCGTCTCAAGAAGAGTCACCGTCGTAAGACGAAGACCCTGCTGTATAAGAGACCCCTTGGCAGGTATCAAGCGATGTTCCAGCACGCCAACCCTGTGGATGTCCCCTACACGGTCGCTTTGCTTTAGACTTTAGACTCAAGCGACCACACAAAGTTCGATTCGGCTGACTTTTGAGAGGAGGGTGTGCATTTGGGGAAACCTGCAGTGCAGTTGAGTCCGTGTCCTGACAGTTTTCCCCGTGTCAGAAAATGGACGGGATGAGCGCCGGGATAGCCGTGGAGGAGATCAAGGCCTGCAAGCTCGTAGGTTCTGCCCGTGCGCGAGGTCAGTGTGTTCAAGTGTCGTTCGCAGGGGAGCTGAACAGCTCAACTGGATTTTCAAGTGCGTCGAGTCATGTCAAGTTGGCCTCGCAAGTCGCGAACTGTGAAGGTTGAGGGATGTGTGTAGCATGCCAAGCGCACCAGAGTGACCCCGTTCCTGCCCGCACCATCACATAATGATTGGAATTACCATTGCGAAGTTGCAGAGCGAGATCTTCAAACGTTTGAAAGCCTGGTTCAAGCTTGTGTCCAGTGGCCCTCCGGGCCCTCCGGCTTCGGGTTTGCGGCGTCACATCTTGAAAGGTGTTTCACGTTCCGGGCTTGCAGATTTCGGATTCGCGCTCGAGGACTTCATGTGACTTAATGAAAGTCACTACTTTCTTGGCGTGTCCGTGGGCGGGAGCAAAACCTCGCTTAAAATCCTCTCGCACAGCCTTCTGGCACGTGACAACACGTGACACAAGCTCTCATTTTCATTCATGTGATCTACGGCGAGCGAAATCACGAAAGCTAGCTCTTTGAGCTTGCGGGAGTTGTGGTTTGCAAACTTCCTCGCTAGTGTTCTGGTGGGTCAACAAGCGACCCCAGGCCGTAAGTGGTATGAAAATCAATTGGCCAACGGGCTGCGGGGCGGCCAGGGGGTGCCGGCCCCCCCCTTCTCCTGTAAAGCTGATTGCAGCAATCTTTCGGTGCGCCCTCCCCCCTCCCCGAGTGCGATTTAAGCCGGGTTTATTTGGAAGCTGGCTCTTGTATTGTAGGGAGGCGATGATGCTCTAAATCCCTTTTGTATACTACGCAAGAGGTAGCTTCCAAATAGGCCCTATTGGTGTTCCCGGGGGGCGTCCGGGCTGACCATTGAATATTTAGAATATATTTAGTCATGTAAGTTTATATAGTGTAAATATTGGGGGGAGGTTCCCGACCCCGGTCCCACCCCCACCAAGATTTAAATTATTTAAAATATTCATTTTATCTACATTACTTAATTCCCAGCCCGAATTAAGTATTTTAAATATTCACGGGGCCTCCACATTTAAATTATTTAAGTCAGGCCGCCCTGCCCTTCCCAGCCGACCCCCACTCTCCCAACCGCACCCCACCCTACCTCACCACCCCACCGTACTCCATCCCCGCCCGACACCTCTCTACACCGTCACCCCACAGCCAACCCCACCCCCAACCTCCTCTTCACTTCTCGCTGCTCCCACCCTCCCATCCACCGCTGCTACCCTCCATCCACAGCCCACGCCTCCCCACACCGTCACCCCACAGCCCACCGACCTCCCACCCTCATCTCCACCCTGCACCCTCCCACCCTTTCCACCCTCACCCAAAGAAGCAAACCACAAACCTTAGTTTCCAAGATTTCTTTTGTTTAAGCTCTGCTCCTCAAAAAAAGACACACCACGTTGTTAATCTACTCGGTGGCCCCTTTATCGAAAAACAAGCTCCGTTGTTTTAGTGAATGCTGCGGCAGTCTATGCTGTGGTCCGGCCCGTTCTTGTTTCAGCAAAACATTGCAGACCATGTTTTAACCTATTCTCTATTCTTTGGCCCCTTTCTCGGTTTTCTTTCGCCAAAAAAAGAGACAAATCGCGAGCCTTGGTCCCTAATATTGTTGGTGGCAGTTCTGACCCAATAGAGAAGGGAGGTAGACCCAAACTGATAGGGACCAGGGCTTGCGATTTGTCCCTGTAGGAAAACTTAGACTAAAAGTCTTACCGACCAGGGTTCGCGATTTGTCTCTTAAGTCTTTGGAGAACCCGGGCCAGAGCAGGGGGGCAAGCCAAAGCAGGATGAAGGTGACACTCTTTGCACCAGACAAGACATGAGGGATACTCGTTGCGATTTAATATTCTCGAGAGATCATCGCCAGAAAAGACCATGTGATGAGGGGAGCACTCCTTGCGTTTTTCTAGAGCATTATAACCCTAAATTAACATGAGGGAACAATCCTCGCGACTGAAGATTGTCAAGAGCATCATCGCCATAAAACATGAGGGGATGAGGGGGGGCACTCCGTGCAATTGAAGGTTTTCCAGATCGCCCTAACGAGCCCTAACCCAAAGAGACAAATTGCAAACCCTAGTCTTGTATCTTCTTCAAGGAGACACATCGCAAGGCTTGTCCCTAAGATTGTTGGTTTAAGTTCCTCTCCAACAGATAAGGACGCAAAGCCAAAAAAATGATAGGGACGAGGGCTTGCGGTTTTTCTCTTTGGAGGAAAGCTTAGATGAGAATTCTTAGGGACACGGGCCCGCGGCTTGCACGTGGCATTAATTATTCTGTCAGGCTTTTCGCTGCTTTTCAGGTACAGCAATGTCCAAACAGACAGGGCCATCATGGATTGAAGGTACATGGAGGTATCTGAGGTATCTAACGTGCTGCAAAGCAGCACCAGCTGGGCCTTGGTCCGGAGACGTTATGCAGGTATCGAGCGGAAGCAAGAAGATTGTTACTGTGCAGCCTGGTCCTCAGCCGTCAACGTTCAGACTAATGTTTGGTTGCCACTCCTAGCTCATGCCCATGCAAGACAATTCGCAATCGACTTTACTCAGGCCATGGGTTCTACGGGAGCTATCCAAGCACTGCATCTCAGAGATCAGCCACTGCCCTGTCTTCGCTTGTGCGTACTTGCTTGATATCGACCGTATCGCAGCGGGGACCCAATTTGCTTTAGCCCTGTACTTTTCACATATTTGGCAGTTTGTTTTGGCGAGGCCGGGGGGGGCGGGGGTTCTCTGTATTTCCGTAGGAAGCCTCTATTTTCGCTACATTTTCTGCTATTTTGGTAGGAAAAACCTATTTCCCTCTAATTTCCTCTTTGTTTTCACAGGAAAAAACGTGTATTTTATCTTTATTTTCATGGGTTTTTCGAGGGAGGAAGGTAGGGACTGAACGACAGAACGAAAGAAAGAAGGAAAGAAATTGAAACACATGAAATAATCAAAGGAAGAAATAATGAAAGAGAGAAATAAATAAAGAAAGAAAGAACTAAATAGATAAAGAAAGGAGTTGGGGTGGGGGGGGCA